ACAAATTTTTAAAATTTTCATGAAGTCCAATTTGTCTAACTTTTCTTTTGTTGCCTGTGCCTTTGTTGTTATACCCACGAAATCATTACCAGGGGTCTCGCTCTTGCTCAGGCTGGTCTCGAACTCCTGACCTGGAGCGATCCACCCGCCTCGGCCTCCCAGAGTGCTAGGATTACAGGCAGGAGCCACTACGCCCGGCGGGTTTTTGCTTTTATAATATGTAATTATTGCTGATCAGGCTACTGATTTTGCTGTGTTGATATTATATCCATTTACTTTAACATTTATAGCATTTAAGTTTTCCATTTACAAAAATTAAACTTACATTCCTTTCAGGAAATACATTTTGTTTAATATTAGGCATAAATACTCATCAGAACTTAAATTCTAGGGTAACTTATTAAATCATGTTTTATTTTCCTACACTTAAAGAAATCATTACGAGATTATTTGACATGTGAACTTCAATGGAGAGGATTCTCACATTATATTCGAAACAGAATATAATCAGTAAAAATCTAGCATTACTACTCTATCTTTTAAAATTGCCTTAGCTGGGCTCAGTGGCTCATGCCTGTAATCCCAGCACTTTGGGAAGCTGAGGTGGAAGGACTAATTGAGGCCAGGAGTTTGAGATCAGCCTCTGCAACATAGTGAGACACTGTCCCTTAGAAAAAAAAAAAAAAGTAATAAAATTGGCTTAAATCATCTATAATCATTAGTAATATGCAAATATAAATGAGATACATTATAGCTAGAAGTGTTATTATAGCTACATTTCATATAAAATAGTTTAGTGGGTTTCTCCTGGAAATGCCCATTTAAATTTTTAAGTCTGTGAAATTTTCCGGTAAGAGTCAAGGCAAACCCAAGACGCAACTAAAAATGTCTTTTCAGGGTTAATTTCCTATAGTTTAACCACACTAGATTACTTGCTGTTCCAAAAAATGCCATGCTCTTTCATCCTTCTCTTTTGAGCCTGAATTTTTTCTACCTATTGAGCCCACCCGATTCATTGATTCTTCAAAGTCTAGTTCAAGTATCACCTACTCTAAAAGCCTTCCTTGATTTCCTCCCAATCCCTAGGTTGTGAACTATGTATGAGTAGTAATTTTATAATACCTTTTCTTTATACAACGACATCTAGCACAGTCTCGGGCAGACAAAAAAGTACTGGATAAATAAATAATTGGTAGGTGAATAATGAGAATTGATTGAAGTATTTCACATCTTATTCTTTATTTACCACTTATTTCTACTTTGAATGATATGTAATTTTTATTTCAGCACACTGTTTGTCTATCCTCCTTTCTTGACTAAACTCTGGAGAAGAGAAAATAAGTCTGATTCCTCTCTTAGCCTTCTCAGTACCTCATACAGAACAGACAATGGGATCAAGTGTATTAAAGCTCAAAGTATTTTAAGGAGGTAAAGCTATTATGAATAAATTTCAGTGAAGACAGGTACACTTTACAAGCCTTAACCTTAGGCTGGGTGTGGTGGTCCCAGCCACTCTGGAGGCTGAGGCAGGAGGATCATTTGAGCCCAGGATTTCCAGACCAGCCCAGGCAACATGGTGAGACCCTAATCTCTACAAAAAAATTATTTTAAATAGCCGGGCATGGTGGCATGTTCCTGTAGTCCTAGCTATTCTGGGCCCCAGGAGTTCAAGGCTACAATGAGCTGTGATCACACCACTGCACTCCAGCCTGGGCGACAGAACAAGACCCTGTTTCAAAAGAAAAGAAGAAAGAAAGAAAAAGAAAGGAAGAAAGGAAGGAAAGGAAAGGAAGAAAATAAATAAATAAACCCAAAAATAAATAAATAAATCCAAAAATAAATAAACGCCTTAACCTGGTGCTACATTATTTGAGATTTAGTCCAGAAAAACTAACTCACTGGCACCACCTAGTATTCAATAAAGGTGGTACACTTTTATGGAAACTAGAGACATGGCTCTCAAGTACTGTAATCTGGAGTGGAAGGTCCTTCCTTATTCCTGCTCACCTGTCCTAGTACTCTGAACTGTGCACAGTACTTACCCATCTCAAATTGCATAAACCTCTAATTCTTTAAGTTCAGAGTGTCACAAATTAGAGGAAAATGAAATTGTTCATCAGGACTACAAGAGGCTCAAAGTCCAAACCCCCTAGGGGTGGAGTTGGCTAGGAAAACGGAAACCACTAACAAGTAGTCTCCTTATATGAGCTTAGGCTAAACCAGTCCAGACAACTTCCTCTTGCGCAACCTGCAACTGAAACGCATCCCTCTCTTCCTAGGAAGACATCATGGTCAGTGGCACTTTCTCCCTCAACTGCGCCTAGGGCAGCCTTTCTGAAGTTTTTCCTGAGAGACCGAGGGTGTCATTGGGGAAAACCCCTTCTCCGGACGCGCCTTAAGGGAAGCTGTCAAACCCAGAAGCACAGAAAAGGTAAGGCCACAAAGCACACCTTTTTCTGACTGAAAGTGAGCAGCGTTCGGACCACGACCATCCGGAACGGGTCAAGGAGTCGCTCCCCCCACGGGCGCGAATTCCACCTCCACGGGGAAACTTGAAGCTCCCGCACTTGGGTCCCGCGGTGGCCGGGCTCGGCCAGGCCCCAGTTGCCACCAGAGGTAGCTGTGAACTCGTCGCCCTCGAAACTCCTTCCAGCCCTCCCTGATTAGAACCAGGACAACCTCCTTAGGTCCTCGAGGTCTCCTTTCTGCCTCCCACCCGCCCGTCGGTCCCAGAGTTTGGAACCAGCAGCCCCGCCTACCTGAGGGCCCCGGCCTGACGGACAGCGCAGGAAGAGCACTTCCGCCTGACTCATGCACTTCCGGCTTGCTGGAACCAATGAGGGTGCGGCTGCGGTGTTCTTCTCGTTTGGCGTCCGGGTCGCGGGTCGTCTGTGGGACGACTGGGCCGGTCGGACGTGAGTGCGTGGTAAGCCCCCTACACGGAGCCCCTAAGAAACCATTCCCTAGGAGAGTCAGCCCAGGACACCCTTTTGTTCCAGACATAGGGGAGTCCAAGGTGGTGAGGTCTTTAGGGTCGAATGTAACGGTCTCCGAAGCAACGTCATATATAAGTTTGGGGCAAGGAGTTTTGACCCCTTAATTCTTTCAGTGGAACCGAAAACCTCGGTAAATTTGCTTCTGACCTAAACGTGAATCCACCCGGCGTGGGGGGCGGGGGTTCTTTCTAGAGGGGTCTTGACGGCTGGTATCCTTGGGCTTGGCAGGGATGAAGTGGCGGGGGCGGGGGCGCGGGGGGCGGAGGAATGATTTCCCTGTCCTCCTAAATCCTTCCTTCCAACTCTGTAAAAGACTAGATCCACCTTGCTGGAGGCGGTTTGACCCTAATACCCCTTGAGAAAGAGGAAGCTAGCTGTCCGGCAGCACTTAAAAAGTTACCCAGAAATTGGGTGGAAACCATTTTCTCGGGTTCTCAGGACAACATCAGGGTTTATGACAAAATTGAGAAGTGTAATCTTTGAAGTTAGTTATGTTTCATCCGCCCAGGACAAACTTCCAACTTGGGTTACCCTCGAACTTTACCGGGGTGAGTTGTTTCTGTCAGTTCTGTCTGATTGTGGAATTCTTTATTACCATCAATTGTTTTTCAGAGTTTCGTTTTGGATATGGCACCATTTTTCTAGACCACCTTGAAGAAGGCTGTTGACATACTAGTTGGAATGGTTCCAATAGCTGACCTTGCAAAACACTTCAGATTCAAAGAACTTCCTTTGTAAAAGTAAGTGCTTGTTACATCAACATAATTATCTTTAATTTTTGATTGGTGAATATGTGTGGAATTGTCAACATTTTGGGTAAAATGAAACTCACAGTGACAAATAGAGTCAATACCAAACAGAACAAAACTGGAAAATAAACTTTTTTCCCATAATTTGAAGAATTTTCTGAATAAACACTTGCTCACAGTGTATTTCCACTAATTTTGATGATAGTATGGTATTCTCCTCAGGCATTTGTGCTGGTTTTAGTGTGCAATCTTAGAACCTGCGGAGGAAAGGCCTTACCATATGTGCATTTTATTTGCTCACTCTTCCTTCTCAGTGATTTAATAGGATTCAGTTCTATGCCGAGGGTATTCTTGTATACCTTTAAGTTCTTATTTAGAGTTAGTGGATGATGAAAACATTCCTAGTGCATAAGTAAGAGAAATTGTTCGTGTTTCAGTTCTGAAAGAAAATAGAATCCAAGCCTTCAGACAGAAGACAGAGAAGAAATTGGACAACGAGGAATGATATGTTAGGTAGATAGTCACAGGAGACAGCACTGGGGACAGGAACCTCAGAACTGGGAGTTGTAACTGGGAAACCAGATGCTACTTGGCTGCTGGAGGAGTGTGGGACACTTCAGCCTGGACTTGGCATGGGAGCCCAGAGAATGCAAGTTGCTCCAACTAGGTAGGAAACATGCTTGGGCAGATCAAACTTGAGTGGCTAACAAGAAGTTCTGTAAGCCAAAAGCTCACTGAACATTTGGGTCTTTTTAAAATGTCTACCAGCAGATAGCCTATACCATTATAAGTCTTACATAATGGGTAACAACATGAACTTTTAGAATCAAGCTTATTCCTGTAGTTTAGTCAGCCTCTCTAAGCTTCAGTTTCCTCATCTGTCAAAAAAAAAAAAGGAGGGATAATAATGGTACCTACCCCATTGGGTTTGCTGTAAGGATCTCATGAGTGCTTAGCGCATTGCTTGACGCATAGGAAGAACTCAAGTGAATGTCGTTACTGTTGTTATCGTTATAATAAAATAAGCGTAATTAAATAATATTGGCCGGGTGCGGTGGCTCACGCCTGTAATCGTAGCACTCTGGGAGGCCAAGGCGGGCAGATTGTTTGAGCTCAGGAGTTCGA